CCATAAGGAGCTTTCAAGACCATCTAGTCCAATCCCCTCATTTTACAGATGAGGAAACTGAGGACCTAGGTGGTCATGCCTTGCCTAAGTTAACATAGGTCATTTTACATTATTGTCAGGTTGTTCTTGACTCGCTCTGTGATTTTATCAATATAGAGAGCCCCCACTAGAGAATTTGCTCTCCTAATACTTCCTCTGTGACTTAGAGACTCAGGGAGTTGTCTGGTGCACTGACTAATTATCATGCCAGGGGTCACATAGCCAGAATGTGTCAGAGGTGGGGCTTGAACCTAGTTATTCTTGATTGTGAGGCCCCTTTATAACCATCCTGCTGTATTATTGTTATATTTTTGTCTATGTAAAATATCATATCTTCTTATAGTCTTTCCTACTCATATTATGGAATTAAAAAAAAAAGAACTACTCTGTAGTTTTGGGATATCTCAGAGCAAACAAGTATCCTACCTCTCATATCTTACCACCATCATTGGTGTGTGTTAGGGTTTTTTTTTTGTTATTGTTGTTCATTTGCTTTGTTTTATCTGTTTTCAATTAAATTAAAAATAAATTAAATTAAAATTCAATCAATTAAAAAAACCCCTCTCATAATAAACATGTATATTCAAACAAATCCCATATTGTTCATGTCCAAAATGTAGATCACATTCTGCATATTGAATCCATCACCTCTGTGTCAGGAGATGGTTAACATGGTACATCATCAGGCCTCTGGAATCATGGTGGTCTTGGTAGTGTGTACATGTGTGTGTGTGTGTGTGTGTGTGTGTGTGTGTGTGTGTGTGTGTGTGTGTGTGTGCATGCGTATTGTTAAAGAAGAATGGAGATGGAGGAAGCCTGCATAAAGAGCCTACCATTTGCAATGAGCCTCCAATGCCTTCAAAGAGAATCACAAGCTATTGTCATGGTGGTCAGTTCAAGATCCAAAATTAGGTTCTGTGGGATCAGATCTAAGTCTTCTATGCCTTTTTGTCCACTGCAGCTGGGCTTAACTTTCTTCCCCCTCTTCTCATTGCTTAGGAGCTCTCTCCACCAAATCATCGTACATGGTGTATTCATCATTAACGTGGGCTGACCATGTGAAGAGGTCTTCTGTTTTGGCTTTTAACAGATTAACAGCTGATAAAAACTAGGCAATACCCTCCCCTCAGAACCTTTTCTTAAAATACAGGTTGGATTTGCCAGGCCTTGCATATTTAAAGCCTCCAAGATGCCAGAGATGACATTAGAAAGTTAGCTGATAAAGCAAACTAGTGGTGCACTAGCACAAAAAAAGTCAATTAGCATGTTAGAAACCCAAGGGAGGGGATTCTGAAGAGGTGATGGATTCAATATGCAGAATGTGATCTACATTTTGGACATGAACAATACGAGATTTGTTTGAATATGCATGTTTATTATGAGAGGGTTTTTTTAATTGATTGAATTTTAATTTAATTTATTTTTAATTTAATTGAAAACTAAGATAAAATAAAGCAAATGAACAAAGGGTATTGATTTGCACTTGTAACACATCTCTAGCTTTGCTCTCTTGGTTCACAGGGTTGAATATAATTGCAATAATAACGATGGGCTACCCTGCCCATTATAATTTTACAGAATACTTTACCTAACTCAGTTCATTTGATCCTCGCAGTGAAGTAGGTACAGACATTTTTATCTACATTTTGCAGATGAAGAAAATGAGGCTGAGAGAGATGAATAACTTGCCAATTTTTACACAGCGGCTTAGCATCAGAGTTAGTATTCTGCTGACCTCCAAGTCCAAAACTCTTTCCGTTTTACCAGGATACCCAGAAATGAGCATGTGGAGAAGATGGGAGTGTTCTTCGATCAAACAGTGTGGATTCCACCTCAGAAGGGCAGAGAAAGATTTTTTGTATCAAGAAAGGGCATCACAGTCACCTCTCAACAAGTCCATAGCATAGGGCTGTCTGCTGTAATGACCTTCCTTCGGTCAGACAACAAATATTTATTAAGTACCTACAATATGCCAGGAGCTATGCTAAACACTGGGGATATAAAAAAGGCAAAAGCACAAATTTTTGTTATGACAAATAAATACAGACTATACAAAGAAACTCAACAAACAGATATGAAATGCCTTTTGTTCAGTCATTTTTCAGTCATGGTAGACTCTTCGTGACTCTGAAGTTTTCTTGGCAAAGATACGGGGTGGTTTGCCATCTTCTTCTCTTTCTGATTTTGCAGATGAGGAAACTGAGACAAACAGGATTAAGTGAAGTGCCCAGGGTCACACAGCTAGTAAGGATATGAGGCTGGATTTGAACTCAGGAAGATGAGTCTTCCTGACTCCAGGCCTGATGCTCTATCTACTGCACCACCCAGCTACCCATGAAATGCCTGCTTTATGCTAGGTATTGGGAAGATAAAAAAGTTTAGGACAAAAAACCAACAACTAAGTCCTTGTCTAAGAATCAGAGAAGGCCCCCAAAACAGAAACTTTGTTCCAGATTTAACGTGCCTCCTTAATCCCAAGTCCCCTTTTGAAAAGAGGAAGCCTTAGCAAGAGACTGCCTATTAGGAAATCTAGCTACTTCTGAATTAATGCATTTTTCATATGTGTTTTAGAAAGATAATTGGATGAGCATAAATGCACATGTCCCTCTTCTCTCCCCCAAGTTGGAAAGATTCTCATTTCAGCCAGATCCAGAAGCAAATTATTTAAAAAGAACTGCCCTCAAGGTCTTCTGAATCTTCTAATAGTCAGAGAAGTCCAAGAATCCTGTCCCAGTGACTACTTATCTGGTTTCCAGCCTGATTCCTTGATCCTAATGGCTTGGGAAAATATTAGGAAGAGCTGTATTTGGCTTTGGAAGCATTTCCCATCTCTCTGCTTTTCCACTGACCAAGTTAGACTCCTGTGCCAAGACTGTTCCACCCCTTGCCCCAGAATGTCTTGTCTCCTTCCAGACTCCACTCAAGCATTGCCATCTATATGACGCCTTTCCTCCTCTCCCCAGCTGTTAGTGCCCCACCTCCATCCACTTGTATCTATTTTGCATATATCTTAACTTTGCAAACTTCAAAGCACTATACAGAAATTCTAGCTATTATTGTAGACACCTATGTGCATGCTATCTTTCTCATAAGCTATAAACTCCTCGAGGGCAATAACTATTTCACTTGTCTCTGTACCTACCCTCAGTGTTTAGCACAGTGTCTAGCACCAAAGTAGGCACTTAATAATTGCTTGATAACTGATTGACTATTTGATTCCTGGTACATTCAGGAAGCATTGGTTTCAGATCACCTTTTCTAGCAGAAACTGGAAATTCTATTGATCATGCCCTTAAGGCATTTATCTTCCATTGACTGGTCTTCCTTCATTACTGAGTTTTTGTATACGCTGTTTGAATGAATGAATGAGTAAAGCAGTTATTAAGTGCTTGCTATATGCAAAGCACTGGAGATACAAATAGAAAAGAAAGACAGTCCCTCTTCTCAAGAACTTTCCTGGTCCCCCTTAATTCTATTGCTTTTCCTTTGTTGACTCTCTCCCACTTACCCTGTATCTTGTTTGTGTTCTGTGTGAGTTGTTTGTATATTGTCTTCCTCATTAGACTGTGAGCACTTTGAGGACAGGGACTGTCTTTGACATTTCTTTGTATCTCCAATGCTTAGCACAGCACCTGTCACATAGTAGGCACTTAAAAATGTTTACCTACTGAGCGACTGGCAAATGGGGGAGGTGACCTATATGGAAGATTTTAGCTGCCCGTCAGATGGAAAAGCCCTTCGGGTACAGTGGCAAAGTTGATGGTGATGCCAGTTCTTCAGTTTCTGATCATGAATCATTTTGTGGCAAATGGTCTTTGCTACCAAGGACTTTTGTGGCAGACCTTTCTTTTCTGGGTTTTCAGAAGCTGTGCCTGTAGCATCCACAGGGGCAGCTGCCTGGCTCCATCTTTACAGGGGTTGCTTCCTCCAATGGTGGCTGAGGCCACTGGGCTGTAAGCATCACTATTCCCAGATAAGTAGTCACTGGGACTCTTCTGACTATTAGAAGATTCAGAAGACGTTTAGGGCAGTTCTTTTCAGATCATTTGCTTCTGGATCTGGCTAAAATGAGAATCTTTCCAACTTGGGGGAGAGAAGAGGGACACGTGCATTTATGCTTATCCAATTATCTCTCTAAAACACATATACAGGTTCAGGGTCTTGGGCTATTTCCTTTAGGGTCTGAGAGTAGATGGGGGTCAAGGTGGTGGTGGTGGTTTGGCCTGCCTGGCACGTGCTGCATCCTGTCTACCCCACAGGGTGGCATCTTTATAGCCTGGATTGTCTGTTCTGTGGGTGGCAGTTTCCTTCTGCATAGGAGTTGCTTTCCCAAATGTTGGCTATGAGGGGAGAGTCAGAGCAGAACCAGTCATCTAGGGGCTGCAACCATTTCCAGGGCTCCTGTGCTTGAAATCTGTATCACCTGTATTTGCTCATCTAGTAAATCTTTTGAGACATTGATGTTCTAAAGATCACTGCCTTGCCCATTGGGACAGTCCCACATGATTGGTAGCCATTAGGGTAGGGAGAAGAAAGCTCTTACTGTTTTTTGGATCAAAGAGAGGTGAAGGGGAGATTAGGTAGTTATCCAATATTACTCTCAATGTCACTGGAAGATTTAGAAGACCAAAGATGGTTTTTCTTATCTAGCCCATGCTACTACCTGCAGGGTGATACAACCTGCTAGAAGGTCAGAATGCAATAGCAGTAGGGTCTTGGATTGGTTTCTATAAGTTCCCATACTGGGCAAATTCCTTTCTTTTTCCTTCTGTGAGCTGATGGCATCAGCACGTTGTGCTTTTCTAGGCTGATTTACTCTGGCAGAGGCAATCTCTCAGCGGTGAGGCATGCACCCACCGCTTGCCAGGTGAGAGAAGTTAGGCCTGTTCTTTCTGTCGAACTCAATGCATTTCTTGGCCTTATTTATGTCTTCTTCACCTGGCTTTCTTCTCATTCCATAGGACTGGACTGGAGGCCATTATGGAAACATATGCTTTCTGGAGACCACCTGTGCGCACACTCACCTTTGAGGATTTCACCACCATGCAGAAACAGCAAGGTGAGCCACTGTATAATGGTCGCTGGCTAGGGACAGGATAGGGGCAGGGGAGGGACGAGGCACAGAATTTGAGTTGGGACATCTGGCCTCCAGCTGAGTCATGGGATTGTGCTGACGGCTACGAAATGAAGAGAACCTGGGAACCACGTAAATAACTGGAACGTCATTACTTGGCTGGGTGGGGGATGGGAACAACCCATCAGATCTGATTCTCTTAGGTAGCACTAACTCTGGCCTTCAAAAGCTACCTCAGTGTCCCTAGTGAGGAAGGTTAGTTATTTCATTTTTCCTCCTTTTCCTTTTAAGCATTCAACAGAACACTGGTAATTTACAGATTTTCTTACAATGTCATCTCCACTATCAATATGGTTGTCTTTTTATAGCTGATGGTCCTGGAGCACAGAGAGGTGGGCACAATCATTTGTTTGAGGTCTCTCAGTGACTAGAGGGAGCTAAATATTGACTCTCTACCCTAGGTCTACTGGTTTAGCCCACTGAGACTCCCTACCTCCCTTGCTTATTACCTTATGTTTTATTTGGAACAAGATTGTTCTCAAGGAAAGATGTGGAGATCTTCCAAAAGAACTGCCTGAAAATAAACTACACATATTTTAAGTGAAACCTCAGGTGCAGCTAGCCTCTATGATTGCTCTCTTTTCCTTTCAAACAGGCTTTTTTGCCCTCCTTTTTCCAACTCCTGTCTTCTAGAGTCTAGATCCATGGTTTCAAACTCAAAAAGAAATGGGAGCCATTAATCTGTATGCAAGGATCCCTGGGGGCTGTATATTGACTTAGTTTTAAAATGTAATATCATTTATATATTAGGACAGCTAGGTGGAGCACTGGATAGAGCGCTGGGCCTGGAGTCAGGAAAAACTCATCTTCCTAAGTTCAAATAAAGCTCTAGATACTTACTAGCTTGTATGACCTTGGGCAAGTCACTTAACCCTGTTTGCTTTAGTTTCCTCACCTGTAAAATGAGCTGGGGAAAGAAATGGCAAACCATTCCAGCATCTCTGCTAAGAAAACCCCAAACAATGTCACAAAGAGTCAGACGACTGAAAAACGACTAAACAATAAGAATCTACGTATTTTGTTAAATATTTCTCAGTTATGTTTTAATCTGGTTTGAGCCCCACTCAGGAGTATTTCAGGCTGGGGGCATGGGCTGTGGGCTGAGTGCTCTGGCCTAGATTATAGGCCAGGATTGGTAAACTAGATCCTGTGTGCCCATTCTCCTTTATTCCTAAGCCAGTGGCCCACCTGCAATCAGTATCAAGGTTCTCTGGCATCCTGACTCACTTCAGTCCCATAATGTCAAAATGAAAGTTGCCATGAGACCTGTAGGATAGCTCTCCTAAAAGATTACTGACAAATCAGGAGGAGTGTGCTGGAGCCAGCTGAAACAGGCACAATACAGTTAATTATTAAATTTTCAGTGTGAGCTTTTATACCTCAGAAATCATTCACAGCTACAAATCATCACTTGATTTATTGTTTTGTTGATTATCTAGACTTAAAATGATACAGAAAATGTCAGTAATGCAGATTGAATTTAAACGTGCGTGCAGTGTTTTATTTTTATGGAGAGCTGGTTGTTAAACATTTACCAGCACACCACTGCTAACTATAGTTGGTGTTGCTTTTAGTTCAAAGATTCTTAACCTCTTTTTGTGTCATGGCAGTCTGATAAAGCTATTGACCTCGTCTCATAATTAAGACTTTAAAAAATGCAGAGACCATGACTCTATTTTCTATACAAAAGCTGAAAAAAAGGAGAGAAATGTAAGGGACTGGGAGGGATGGAGGAAGTCAATTTGATTGGTCATGGAACATCCCATCCTATCTATTAAGCTGAACCTACCATTTGATTACTGTCACTGATCGAAATGGTGCCATTTGACCAAATCATCATTCTCCCCCACTCCCCACACAGTTGTTCAGAGAGCCAAATCCATTTAGCAAACTATGCTTTGACTGCCCACTGTCATGTCTGCCTTCTGGTTAACCCATACAGAACTGATGGAGAGGTAGTCCACATTTGTAGAATTGAATTTTTATCTAGAAGACAGGTTTTTGTTTTATTTTTGAAGTGAGTAGACTGCTTACTTCTATCAGCTTTTGGAAGATGGCTGTGAACTTATTTTCTCTTGTTCCATAGGGTGGGTTTCCAAGTTAGAGCAGAAGTAGCAGTTTGCATCAGGATTTTTAGTAGGTATATTGCCATCAAGGCAAGGCAGCAATATCTTAGCCTTGGGAAAAATAGTGACTTGCTGGGTTTAGTTATTTCCCTTCCCACCCCCTTATGAATACTATCTTCCTCAAGCCTTTGAATTCATCTACCACCATATAAATGAGCATAAAATTGTTAATTGGGATGGGACTCTTCAGTCCATGAGCTAATGCATACTTATCATACACAACCAAATGAGAAACTTAGATGGATTTATGACCTTCTTAGCATAGGCATTTCTCCAAAGCAGATTTCAACTTCTTTGCATGTTCTCAACCAGTGTGATTCTCATCCATTTCTTTCTGTAAATTCCTTACAAAGGATTCTCCCAGTGTGTCAGAAGTCTTCCTCTATTTCTTTTAGCACCTTGAGGGTACTCATGTAATACCCAGGTTGTCCATTCTTGCTTGGTAAATTCATCTCCTTTTTCATTATTAAGTGTCTTTGGTGATGTTTTTTCCCTGCACTTTTTGAGCATAAATTATTACTCTCACCATCCCATCCACCTTTCCATCTCTTCTGTGCAGTCTTCACACTCATAGTGAAGTTAAGTGACTCACTCAAGCCTATGAATATTCAGGTTTATTACAGACACTTAGAAAACATATTGGTTTGAAAGAAGCTAAACTCTTAGAGCATGATGTCATCACTGAATCTACTTATTACCAGGGGAACAAGAAAGAACCTGGGGTTATTGAATACACATGGTAAGGGGATGGGGCAATAAGAAAAGCCAAGAATCTATTAAATAGTTTAATTGGAATATATTTTTGAACTTCAGACTGAACTTGATCCAGATTCTCATGATTAAAAACTTTGTGGTTTAGTTCCTTGACTCTAACAAAGGACGTAAAATCAGCAACAATCTTATCCCTCCTCCCTAAAGCCTAAGGGTTCCAGTAATTCTGGGCAATGTCACTCATAAAAGAGAGGAAAGAGACTCTGCTCTTCTGTATGGAATTGTTTTGTGTCTCTCCAGAAGCAGAGAGGAGGAGTGGTTGTCTACTGGAAACATCAATAGCAAATTGGTTGCTTAACAGTTTCTTCTTAGTGGAGGAAAGAGAATATTAAGCTGTGTCTATATGATACTGGACATTTGGATAAACATGGAAATATTCAGCTATCCAGATGTTTTGCCTAGCTGGCACCAATTATCTGAATATTTGGAAATGCCCCCGGGTTAAAAAATAAGGAATTATTTTTTTGTTTGTTTTCAATTCAGATACTGCCATAGTGTAGACATAGCTTAATATGCCAGTGTTGAAGGGAAGAGATTCACCTTTCTTTCGAGGTTAAGATAATTTCTCTTATGAAAGCAGCAATGGACAAAAGTATTTATTACCAAGGGAGTGCTGAAAGAGCTTAAAATTATGGAATACGTATGTTAAGAGGATAGATTAAGGAAAAAGCCAAGAACTCATGGAGTCATTTCATTGGTATGGAGCCGCAGAGAGGGCCCAGGACTATTTTGACTTCCAGTCTTAGTCCCATTGACAACAGATGATCGAAAATTCTTAGAATTTTCGATCATCTGACTTTGGTGACAGGAGTAAGTTGAGGTGTTTAAAAAACTCAGTGGCCCCACGTATTTTGGTGACAGTAGGATGACCGTCTTCTGGAGGAAACTAGAGCTATTTAGCCTGGAAATGGCCATGTTGATTGAAATGGAAATTGTCATTAATTAAGTTAAAAATATGAAGAATCAAGTAGATAATTTTTATTTATTAAACATATGGGGAATGGTTTTTGTAATCAATCATTGCTTAGATAGATTTGAGCTTAAAAACTGAGAGATGAATATAGAATTTTTACTTTTTAAAAAGTTGACAGAATGGTTTGTATCAGTAACTCATATATACAAAATGTCAGCAGAAAGAGATGACATGCTCCTCCATGAAAACAGAAGCTTTAGTAAATGGTATCTAAGATAAGGTAGTCTGGAAGAATTGCACTGGCTAGGTTGGCTAGGTTATTTGCATTTATCTTGCCTCAGTCACTGTCTAGCTGGAGATTAGTTGATTAACTCTTCTGTGCTTTAGTTTCTTCTACATAAAAAGAAGAGTAATAATAATAGTATTTATTTAGTGCTTTGAGGGTCACAAAATGCTTTTCAAATATTATTTCATTTGACCCTCACAACAATCCTGGGAGGTAGGTGCAATTATTATCCCCATTTTACAGATGAGGCAACTGATACTGATAGAGGTTAAGTATCTGCCCAAAGTTCCAGAGCTAGTAAGTGATTAAGTAGGGTTGAACTCAGGTCTTCCTGATTCCAGGTAAAATGTTCTATTGTTCTATCCACTCCAATACCTATCTGCCTGACACAGCAGGTCTTCCCCATGCCTGAGGTCTATAGTAAGGAACAAAGAGATGCTCTGTCATTTAGGAGAAAGAAATTGTTCAGCAAACTGTGTACTAAATGACAAGACCAACATATAGACAATGTAAAATGGCGGTCAATTCCAGTACCTATCACAATGCCTTATAGTTTGGAGGCACATAATAGGACTTTTTTGCATTGACCTGTTTAACCTTTGGGCTCTTCCTCATGCCTGCATCAGTATGTGAGCACTGGAGACAGAGGCCAAAAAATGAGAGAGAGGTAGTCTGTAAGAAAAACAAATCTCAAAGATGGAGGAGACTCCAGAGGCTGTCTATTCTAACCCATATCTAAATAGGCATCCCCTTTCCAATTCCTGAGGTAGCCCATTCCAATTTGGACATCACTAATCATTAGAAAACTTTTCCTGACTTCCTAACAATT